AACCGTTGGAATACGCAAAATAACCAAAAAAGTTAAGCAGAACGAGTCTCCAGAGTAAAACAGCCATGAAAGTGTGGAGCGCTCGCAGCATACGGTTGTCAAATAGGTGCTAACTTAGTTGGGGGGGGGGCACGCGGCGGCGCGGCAGTCTGCTCGCCTGGCATGTTCGGAAATCCGTGGGCCAGGGGAGAGTGTAGGCAGTCTAGGGGGTGGGGGCAGTCACTTGACATGCGTGAAAAGCTGGAATGTTCGAGTTTACACTGTCTCGCTCGAGAGAGCCCAGGTGAGCAGACTGCCGCGCCGCCGCGTGGCCCCCCCCCAACTAAGTTAGCACCCAAAAGTATTTATGCTATACAATGTTGTTTCAAATTTGCCACAAAAACATATATGGATTCAGATGTGCAATTTGAGCAAACTTGTCTTGCGAATGAATAATTTATCAAGAAGATTATGAAATTCGTATCTAAAAACATTAGGGGTAGTCCTCCATCGGAGAAAATTCCTCCACGTGGCAGAAAGTGTCGGGCAAGGTCGAGCGACATTTTACCGCCAACGTATTTGAGAAAACACGTAAGACCGCCGTCACACTCGGCGACGGACAAGCGATATAGCGAACGCGATCGCCCTATCGCTCAACCGTCGCCGGGTGTGACGGCGGTCTAGGCGATGTATAAAGAACAAAAACGAAGAAAAAGGACCGAAAGAGGAACAACGTTCAATTTATGTGCGAAATAAAGTCTGCGCTCGACCTTCTTTACAGAGGCATAGAGATCAGAAACAAAGTTAAGTTTGCTACAGTGCACAAAACTGGAAAGTGAGTGCGGTAACAGTCTCCCAAAAGCGCTTCTACCTGAATAAAGAAGGAACCTTTCTTCAGTTGTTGAATTCGAGAACACTTACAACCGAATTATGTCGATATTTCTCTCTATAACAAAAAATAAAACACCAAGTAAAAACGATATTAAAGATTACCTTGAGTGCCGGATCGAAGCAGACCACCTGAGCCTGAAGTGATGCACCGAGAGCGGTCTTGAAGTGCACGGTTGAGCCAGGAGGAAACGCGCCCTCCCCGCCGAGAGACACCATCTTCCCGGCTTCTCCCTCCTCTTGGGTCAACTCCAACGCCGACGGCGGATGTTGTTGAGCCGCTACAGGAGCTGCAAAAGACAGGAAGTAGCAGCATCAGGAATTGAGGGTTGCTCATTGATGCACGATCATCTTATGAAATAGAGGCATGAAATTTCAATCAAGCTTTGGAAAGTTGCACCGCAAAGTCTGAGATTTAAAATTAAAAGCTTGATTATTGAAAGACTTGAGTTTTTGAAATTGGTTCAAGCAACTCGCAATCAGTATCTGTAACACAATGGTAGACCACCGATGAAAGAATTTAGCTTCTCGCGTATTTATGTGAACCACTTGTGAAGATCACATAAGGAGGTAGGACAACGACGCTGAACCAGTGCCATCCGTTGGTTTGTAGCGACCAACGAAAAAGTCGTATCTGCGATTTCTTTAAGAGACGGTCGTATATGGAGCTTGAAAGAGTTGTTGATTGGAGAGAAACTGGAAATGTACAGATATTAAAAAATGTTCACCTTTTGTATGAGGCACTCTCGAAGGGGTTGTATCTAACTAATTCTTACATCGTCACGATCTGATCCTTCTCAGAACCCTCAGACCGCGGTTACAGTTTAGCCGGACCAACCACACAACCGAGAGTAGAGTAACCCATCGATCGCTACTCATTCAACTCTTCAAGACTAGTTGGCTCTTGCACACGAAAATGAAAGGTACTGGTGCGAAATGGGCCGGCAATGTAGAAAAAAGAAGAAGGATCAGCCGGTTACGACCTTGTTCTCCTTCGAAATAAGGTTGTGTTAAACAAGTGAGAGATTGAGGCACTGAGGAGAGTATTTGAGGCGGGGAGAACACAGCATGAGAGACAGAGAGAATAGCCTGCTAGATGGAGGAAACTGAAGCTGCTGAAGCTGTCTTTGTGAGGGTCGACCGCCCTTGTCAAGCTAATTCCGTGCGCGGGCACGCCACATCTGAGATTCTCTGGGGATCTGTCTTACAACAAAGGGAATCGCACCTGACTCCTGCCTGGGTTGTGTTTTTTAGCAATTACAAGATGTACCTCCTGAGAGTCTTAAGTGTTCGTATGCATAAACTAAATAGCCTTGGGAGCGTAGATTATTCATTTGAAAGCACTGATGTTTAAGGTCGAGTAATTGTTCATATGCGAAATCTTGCAAACTTCAGGCCTACCACCCTGAAAAGCCACTACCGACAAAGGGGGAGTGGATGGCACAGTATGCTAGTCCCTGGAGGCACGGAATATTTCCCTTTTCATACAAACAAATGCCACCCTTCGACTTGTTAAGCTAAACGAGTATTGAAGCGCTTGAGGCGCATGTCTCAAGGCACGGTTGTCGATGCATCCGCGACTTCGTTTATAAGAGCTTCGCGCGATTCGCATGACGAGTCACAGAAATCACAATTGCTCGATCAATACTGCGAGGTGCTCTTCAATCCCGCAGATATTTCTGCTTGATGGTACATGGACGAATGATGACTGTTCCATGATCCTACTTGTATCATATTCAGTGTTTCAAATGTTCAAATGGGATCGGCACTTGGCCCGTATATGTCTGCTACTGACGACCGAACACCCCGCGAAACTGGACGGATCGCTGGAACGTGAACAGCCTCACCGGCGGCGAAATTCACTGTCCGCCGACCTCCTACTGTTTTAGAATGCCGTGGCGAACTACAGAGCTTTAACAAACCTTGATCAGCACTCGGTTGGCTGCTTTCCCTAACTCTCTTGCCATGAAGGAAAAGAGATAATGTAGTCGGCGCAAGTCAATTCTTTCGGGGATGCGCCACGTACACTGCTTCCATCCATTCTACTTTCATGGCATCGGACATTGGCACAGAGGTAAGATGAGGGTGATGAAATACATGGAATGATTGTGGCATTCGACCGCGATTTTAGCGAAATGAAAGCCGGAGTCAAATGTATGAGCTGGGTGTCGCTCAGCAAGGCCCCGTTGCCACGGTGTGCACATTTCTTGATTGGAAGGTCCATCCAGTTAGCTAGGCCAGCAATGTTTAAGTCAGTGTTTTCTTGATCCATACGAGTTTAAAACTAATCAACCAACCCTGGAGAGATGCAAGAATTGTTTGGAAGGAAAAAAAGAGAACGATTTAGCAGTGAAAAAATGGGTATATAGTAGGCGGTCAAGTGTGAAAGCTTCATGGCATAAAAAAAAATTTCATCGGTTGTAAATTCTATCTATCTGCCAATGTTTCACTAGCTTTCATTTGCTTGGTGTATTAGTTTGAAAGTCAAAATTCAAAAGTTGATACATTGGCGGAACAGAAAAATATTCAAGCTTATGCTTAACACTTCAGTTCCGATGTGTTGTTCACCTCATTCTATGGGTTAGTTATTTGCTATTGCTACCCTACAATACAAGAGTTGAGTCAGAAAATTCGAAATGTGTCGGAACATCAAAACTGATAAAAACCCATGCTATGTTGGTGGCAGGAAAACGAAGCTTAAAAAAAGGTCGCAGCGAATTGCACACACTAGAAGATGAATAAGCCGTCCTTATTCAGCCAAAACATCCTGTGGTTTGTCTTTCGGTAAATATTTTTCTTGAAACTGGATCATCGCAGAGAAATCCAAAGCTTAGGAGCCGAACCGTGACTTTTCACATGCGAATACCGAAAGTGAAACAGAGAAGAGCCGGATGCTCCACTCATAAACTTCGTAAGACCAGGATTGGAAACAATGTCACTTCCTCGCATTTTAGAAAGTTTCGTTAAATGCTGATGGGAATCAAGAAATTGAAGGAATTGGAATTTCGAAATGAGGCAAGGACAAACTGAACAAAACGATAAGAAATGAATCAGTATTTCAAAGAAAAGTTTTGCATTGGAAAAAAACCGAAAGCGATTCAGCGACGCCGTGCAAGGACGGTTCGTCTGTGGTCGACTCGTTGCCGTGGAGCGCACATTCGCTTGACGTGAGTGCTCTTATTTGGGAAGCTGTCAGTGCTGGATAACATCGATCTTAATTGTATCTCTTGGTGACTATCCTCATCTTCACGACAATTGCCTTCCATCAGTTCAAGATGCTCTATAACGGAACTAGGTTGCTTAGTCACACAAAGTCACCAAACTGCACACACTGGTGAATCTTTGTGGAGTAGAAACACAACTAGGCTTAGAGATTTCTCTCCAAAAATCATAGACAGGTTTGTTTTGGTGCAATACAAGTAGGGTGGGCACGCCGGTTCTTTTTGTACAAAATGTGTGTAATTTGTCCTTTTTGTGTGTTACTTTTTTGATTTTTTGTGGTTCTTTTGTGTGTATTTTTGGACTTGCTAACCCGATATCTTACTGTCACGAAAAATTCATGTTGAACTCTGTGAGCATGGGTGTGTGGAGCCAATGTAGGGGGTGCGTGTGGGGTGGGGGTGAGTGGCAGCAAGGTGGACATTGCCGTGAAAGCTGAGCTTCCACCCCCCACTGGATAGCACCTTGTATCTCTTCTTGGTCAAAACTTCCAAAGGTACATTGGCGGAAACAGAAAAATATTCAAGCTTATGCTTAACACTTCAGTTCCGATGTGTTGTTCACCTCATTCTATGGGTTAGTTATTTGCTATTGCTACCCTACAATACAAGAGTTGAGTCAGAAAATTCGAAATGTGTCGGAACATCAAAACTGATAAAACCCATGCTATGTTGGTGGCAGAAAACGGAGCTTAAAAAAAGGTCGCAGCGGATTTGCACCACTCATAGAGATGATAACGCGTCCTTATTCAGCCAAAACATCCTGTGGTTTGCTTTCGGTAAATATTTTCTTGAAACTGGAACATCGTCTAGAAATCCAAAGCTTAGAAGCCGAACGATGACTTTTCACATGCGAATACCGAAAGTGAAACAGAGAAGAGCCGGATGCTCCACTCATAAACTTCGTAAGCAGAATTGGAAACAACTGACACTAACACTTCCTCGCATTTTAAAAGTTTCGTTAAATGCTGATGGGAATCAAGAAATTGAAGGAATTGGAATTTCGAAATGAGGCAAGGACAAACTGAACAAAACGATAAGAAATGAATCAGTATTTCAAAGAAAAGTTTTGCATTGGAAAAAAACCGAAAGCGATTCAGCGACGCCGTGCAAGGACGGTTCGTCTGTGGTCGACTCGTTGCCGTGGAGCGCACATTCGCTTGACGTGAGTGCTCTTATTTGGGAAGCTGTCAGTGCTGGATAACATCGATCTTAATTGTATCTCTTGGTGACTATCCTCATCTTCACGACAATTGCCTTCCATCAGTTGAAGATGCTCTACAACGGAACTAGTTTGCTTAGTCACACAAAGTCACCAAACTGCACACACTAGTGAATCTTGTGGAGTAGAAACAAAACCTAAGATTTCTCTCCAAAAATCATAGACAGGCTTGTTTTTTTGTCACCGCCATTTGAGCTTTACAAGATGAACCTTAAGAGCTGGGCTTTTGATTGTTTTAAAATTTCATGTGTAGCTCTGTGCCAAAGCCAAATCGTACTGGATCCATGCGACTACTTTGTCTTACTACGCTTCTGTTTCGTTCTTTCTCTGAATATCCATTGAGAATAACAATGAAGGAGCTTTTCTAAACTGACAGCTCTGTTTCGTCCTACGACGCTCCAAATTACACAAGCAATACCGCGCCTCTAGTCGGTCTCAGGATTTCTGTCAACTGTGAGGCTAGGCAACTCAGCGTTTAAATGTTCTGGGGACTCTCACACACGCGCACTATTACAGGATCTCTGGTTCCTTTATTTCCTTCAAAAGGGTCAGTCCTAGTAATACAAAAGGCTAACGCTTTTTCCATCTACACTCTCACCCTTGGTTGCACGGACCAGTCCTGAAACCCGCATTCGCTTGTGCTCGACCTGACTTTACGTCATGGTAAACGAACTTAAACGAGGGAGTTACTGTCTTATAGTCGAAATTCACTGCCTTAAAGATGCTACTGTCACGGGGGTTATTAAAGGAATCTTCCGCGGAAAAAGCTCCGCCTCCAT